TCATAACCATAATACCCAATCATACACTGTTTTTAAACAGTTCTCTCCCTCATCTGTTTCAATGCAGTATACATAATTTATCCATTTTTTCTCAGTCTCACCTCAACCTTGATGTCAGTCCCATTCTCCAACAGTGGCACTATGCATTATTTGTCCTTTTGTGATTGAGATATTTCATTCAGCGTAATGTCCTCCAGGGTCATCCATTTTGAATTATATTGCATGAGTTCCTTGTTTTTCAATGCAGGGTAGTATTCCATTGTGTGAATATACCAGAGCTTCTTTGTCCATTCGTTTGTTGATGGACACTTAGGTTGTTTCCAACTCTTTGCTATTGTGAACAAAGCCACAATGAACATGGGTGTACATATTTGCAACTTTTTGAGAAAGCGCCATACAGCCTTCCATAGTGGTTGAACAATTTTACACTCCCACTAACAGTGAATAAGGGTTCCAGTTTCTCTGTAACCTCACCAGCATTTGATATTTGCTGTTCTGTTAAATTTTGCTATTCTTAATGGGGAGAGATGATATAGTTGTTTTGGAGAAGATGGATTTTCAAGGAATTGTTTTACTAGATGAGAGCTAGCCAATCAAAAATCATAGATCAGGCGACAGGCTAGAAACTCAGGTATCAGTGTTGCAGTCATGTTGTTCATGGTGTGTACTGTCCAGTTGAAACTGCCTCATGGCTGACCCTCCAGGTGTTTTTCAGTGGCAGTAGATTGCTAAAAGAATGAACAGGTTCATCCTGGAGAGGGTTAAATCAGGCTGCTCCTTGGAGGCAAGGATTTTGAAGCTCCATCTGACATATTTTGGACATGTTGCAAGGAGAGACCAGTCCTTGGAGAGGGACATCATGCTTGGGAGGGTGGAGGGACACTATAGGAGAGGAAGACCTTTGATGAGATGGATTGATTCAGTGACTGGGATAAGGGAAGTAGGTGTATTGGAGACAGTGAGATTGAACAGGTTTTAGGGCTGTTGTACAGGGTATTGCTATGAGTCGCAGGCAACTAGATGGCACATAACAACAACAACAGTAGATTGTGTGGGAGGAGATTGTCCATCTTTCTCCCACAGAGCTCCTGGGGGATATGAATTGCATGTCTTTGGATTAGCCACACAACAGCTTGCCACTAAGCCAGCAGAGCTTATGAGAACTCATAGTTACAAAGTTCCTCTATTGTCCACATCTTAAGGCCTTTGCCAATTCCATGAGGCTTATCCACTGTATTGAGGGATATCTCCCTGGTGTAACAAGAATCCTGATCATAGACAGTAATCATACCACCATAATACTTTTCTCAGTTGATTTCTGACTGAATACTAGGACTCATGGTTTACCCAGATTGCTGTCACATATGCATTGTATTTGGTGTAGCTGTAGGATTTGTTATTTTGAATTTTAGTATATCCAAATGAAATTTCATTCCATTAGGATAACATCATCTTAGTAATTCAGGGTATGCTGTTAGGAAGAACCTGTTCTTGGAAAAAGACATCATGCTTTGAAAAGGTGGAGGTTCAGTGAAAGAAAGACCCTCAAAAAAGATGTAGTGACACAGTGACTGTAACAGTGGGCTCACGTGTATTAGAAATGATGAAGGTGGCACGAAGTTCAGTTCTATTCATAGGATCACTATGAGTTGTCATTGCTTTGATGGCAACAACCTAACAACAGGATAGACCCAAATATTACTATGATTGTTAGTAAATGATTATATTTTGGCTTACCCAATCTCAGTGTGATAGGTATATATTGTTGTCGTGTGCCATTGAGTTGCCTGCAATTCATAGCAACCCTGGGCACAGCTTTGAACCCTGCCCTGTCCTGAGCCAATCTCACAGGCTCTGACACACCTACTCCCCTTACTCCAGTTAACTGTGTCAGTCCATCTCACCAAGGACCTCCTCTCTTCCACTGTCCCTCTATCCTTACATGATGTTCTTCTACAAAAATTCGTCCCTTCTGCCCACGTGCCTAAATTACGTGAGAGGGCTTGCCTCCAGGAAAAACTTAGTTTCACCCTCTCAAAGACAGACCTGTTTGTACTCTTGATGGTCCAAGATATGTTTAATATTCTTCTCCAGCACCACAGCTCAAAGGTATTGATTCTTCTTCTGTCATCCTTAGCCGTTGTCCAGCTCTCTGACACATAGCAAGTAATTGTGAGGACCATGGCCTAGATCAGGTACCCCTTTCCCTAGACTGACATCATTACTCTTTAGCACTTTGGAGAGGTCCCTTACAGCAAATTTCCCTAATGCAATTTGTCTTTCTTTTGGTTTCCTGACTCCTGGTGCCAAGAATCAAGTTTATATATTATAAATTTAACTTTTTTCTCAATTTTTTTCTTTTGAGTGAGAGTTTGCAAATCACATGGGTTTTCATTCGTGTACATTTTGTTTTATAACACTGTAGTTATAATTTCATTTCATCATCCAGACGTATTTTATAACATTAATTACTATTGTATATTACCTGTCCCTTTAACCAGTTAACTAATGTTTTTGCTTTGATTTTAAAATTTTTAAATATTTTTATTTTGAGTGAAGATTTGTAAATCATACTGATAAAATTTACCTTTTTAGTTTATAATTTGGAGTTCTGCCAAACATATAGTCAGGTTATGTAACCAGTACTATTGTTCTGTGTAACTAATAGAATAGTTATGTCATTTAAGATAATACCTATGTGCTGCTTTGTAGTCCCACCACTGTCAGACTGGTAGCTAAATGATATTTTAGCCTTTCAGTCTGCTGCTTTCAGTAGCATGATGCATTTGAGATTTATCCTTGCTGTTGTAGTTATTTTTTATTGTGTCGTCAGATGGACCGCAACTCATAGTCACCCTGTGAATAGCCGATCTGAACCCTACCCTAACCTGTGCCATTTTCACCATCTCTGACACACTAAAAGCTCATTGTTAATCACTGTGTCAGTACTAGTAAATTCTTCAATTTTTGTTATGACGTAGTAATAATTTCTCATAAGACAAGTACAGTGAATTTATTAGCCTTTTCTCTGTTTTCAAAATGATGCATTGTAAATACTTATGTGGTGACTAATAGACTCCATATTGTTAAGTTCAGGTAGCTAATCTTTTTTTTCTTCCCCTGCTATCTTTTAGGGAAGATATAAACACAGAGAAAAACGTTGAGGTTGAAGAGCTCAATATTTGATTTGTTAAGGAAATAACAGTTGTGTGTTGTATATCTGTGATACATTTTGTTAAATTTGACATTGACACTGAACTATATACCTGTGTTTGCTGGTTCTTGAGTGTTATTTGAGTTTGTATGTATATATAATTTGAAATATTTGAGTTTGTATGTAATTTGGAATGTAAGCTTCATATCTAACATCGGTTAGTCAAATGTTTGTCTTGGTATATAGCATATATTATTGTTGTTACCATGTGCTGTTGAGTCAGAACTGACTCATCGCTGATCCTTCAGCAAGTTTCCAGAGGTTATAAATCTCATGAGAGGTTACTCATCCTTCTCCCTTGGAACAGTTGGTGGATTCAGCCTGTGTGCCTTCGGGATTGCAGTGCAGTTTCTTATGATTAGGCTAGGCCGCCAGAGCTCCGTTCTATAGCATGTAGTGCAGCTTTTATGTATAAAGTACAGTCCCAGATACATGAAAACATTTTTAATGTAATAACACAGTACTAATAATGTTTTGATGCATGTTACAAAATCAGGTCCATTTGTATAATAGAGTTTACGAAGTTGTTAACACAGCTGTATATGCGGTTAAATACTGCCCAGATAGACATTATGTAGCCCTACTACTGCTGACTTAAAACCAGATTTCTCACCACTGGATCAGTATGCTTCAATCTGTCACATCACGGTAGATGGAGAAAAGGTTGTCAGTGATTTAATCTTACTTGGATTCACAATCAGCATACTTGGTACCAGCAGATTAGGAGATCCCTTGGGCAAGTCTTCTGTCAGAGACATCCCCAAAGTGCTGAGGAACAATGATAATAGTTTGAAGACTAAGATGCACCTTGGAATGTGGTGTTGGAGAAGAGTACTGAATATCCCATGGACTGACAAAAGAAAAAGCAGATGTCTTGGAGAAAGTACAGTCAGAATGTGAATGACAAAAGCTTCATCTCACATACTTTGGGCATGTTGTTAGAAGCTGATTCTTGAAAAGAGTTATCATGCTTGGAAAGGTGGAGGGTAAGCAAAGCAGAGGAAGACCCTCCACCAAGTGGATTGGCACAGTGACTGCTGCAATGGGCTCATGTGTGTTAGAAATAGTGAGAATGGCACAGGGCAGGACAGGGTTCCGACCTGTTGTTCAGGGTCTCTATGAGTCCTACTGTACCAGTGACAGCAGCCTGCTCATGTTGTGACTGAAAGTAGGAAGATCATGGTAAGCGAGTTGTGTGTCTTTATGTTTGTTTTCCATAACTTAAAAAGAATTAGACCAAAGTTTAAAAGATGCGAAAAATTGTATACTGTTCATTTTTCCTTTCAGAAATTTCATTCTAAATAGAGTTAATTGTCAGTAACAGATCTGTATTTGCTTATCTGAAAAAAATGTGATTGCCTTCTTAATATTGAAATACATGTGGTTTGATCAGGAGGATATGTGCTTAGTAATTTTTCCTTTTAGAGGCACATAGATTAAATAACTTTCTGAAATGTTTTTCTTTTTGACCATGACATATTATAGAAATGCTTAATTTTTGCTCTGCTGGAGAAGGAGGAGCAATCTCCTCCTATACCAGTCAGATCTGATTTGACGACACACACACAAAGAATAATAAAATTAAAAAAAAAATGCTTAATTTTTCTGTAAAAAAGTTGATATACCTCTTTTGTACTTTCTTTTTTATTGCTTTGAGATTTTGAAGGGCACTGTATCAGTCTTCGTCTTCTGATTTGGTTTTTAGAATTGCTTATGTTCCCTTAAGACATCATGTACCTAAGAATTATTTTCTTGGTTTTTAGGTTCTAAATGGCTTCTAAGAAGTTGTGTGCAGACTTTCATGGTAAGTAGACTATTAGAGAATAGAATTTGAATTATAATTTGATCAGAGAATCTGAAATCACTTTCAAGTTTAAGTATCAGGTTGAGGAAAAAAGTTGTATAACATAGCACACACGTTCAGGTGTGTAAATGATGGAAGAAAGATTTTAAATTACTTCTGGGATACTTTTCCAAGAAGTAAAAGAACAGAACATCGTGTAGGGGCAAGGCCAAGGGAGATAAAATAGCAAAAATAGAAACTTATTCTTATTTTTAAAAAACAAATTTTCTGTTTTAAATTCTTAAAAATGTATGTTTGACTGGAGTAAAAACTAAGTTAGACTGCATTTTATATGATCTAATTAAACAATTCTGAGAGACTTTAGATCTGAAATTGTCTTATTCAAGTAAGGCATGTTTTAGAACTTTCTTCACCAATAGCATTCATAACCAGAGTTCTTTGTTGGAAGAAAACTTTCTGAGGAAACGATTTTGTCTTTGTTGCTTAGGCTTTTTAACAGGGCTCTTTGTATTCCTGAGCTCCTGGTTGAACTTCAGTTGTGTTAGTTGGGATTCTGAAGAATCTTCTTTTAAGATATCATGCCCTGTAAGAAATGAACATGAAAATGTATATGTGATAGATGTTCTTGTATGATATCTGTTGTTGCATGTTGTTGAGTCAGAACTGACCCATAGCTGGCCCTCTAGCGAGTTTTCAGAGGCAGTAAATTGCATGGGAGATTACCCATCTTTCTCTGATGAAGCAGTTGGTGGATTTGAACTGTGTGCCTCTGGAATTGCAGCGAAGCTTCTTACCATTAGGCCCCCGGTGTTCTTTTGAATGGTATTCAGCCAAGATCAATAGGACTAAAAGTGGAAAGTCAGATAACTTCCATCCCTCAGGAAGCCAGTCTTTCTTTGCTGTTCTTCTCTTCTCACCCACTCTATTGTTATTCTTCTGTTTAGGGACTTGCTTTCTTGGCCTCCTCACTGTGCAGAGAATGGTTTAACACCCACCTTATGCCATGGTTGCCACTTGATCTTTCTGTTGAAGTAGCTAGCATCATTTATCTAGAACTTCTGTGTCACTTGATGATGTTGTTGTTTTTATGTGCTGTCGAGTTACTTGTGACTCATAGCAACCCTATGTACAACAACCCTAAACCCTGCTCTATCCCTTGCCAATCTCACTGTCTCTGACACACCTCTCCCAGTTACCCAGTGATGGAATCAATCCATCTCATCGAGGGTCTTCCTCTCCTGCACCGTCCTTCCACCCTCCCAAGCATGAAAGCCCTCTCCAAGGACTGGTCTCTCCTTGCAGCATGTCCAAAGTATGTCAGACAAAGCTTTAGAATCCTTGCCTCCAAGGAGCAGCCTGGCTTCACCCTCTCCAGGATGAACTTGTTTGTTCTCCTAGCAGTCCATGGTATATTCAGCACTCTTCTCCAGCACCAAAGCTCAAAGGTATCACTCTGCTTCTATCATCCCAAGTCATTGTCCAGCTCTCTGAAGCATAGCAACTAATGGCAAAGACCAGGGCCTGTATCAGGTACACCTTAATCTCCAGACTGACATTGTTGCTCCTCAGTACCTTGGAGAGGTCTCTGACAGCAGACTTTCCCAGTGCAGTTTGTCTTTTGATTGTAGAGCCAAGCAAACTGAAGCTGTCAACACTCTCAGTTCCTTCACCATCTGTTATGATGCTGCGAATCAGCCCAGTGGTGAGAATCTCTGTTTTCTTGGTACTGAGCTTCAATCCATATTGAAGGCTACAATCCTTGACCTTCTGCAGCAACTGCTTCAGGTCCTCCTCAGTTTCAGCAAGCAGGGTTGTGTCATATGCATAACGCAGATTGTTAATAAGTCTACCTCCAATCCTGATGCCACACTTTCCTCATAGAGCCCCACCTCCCAGATAATCTGTTCTGCATATAGATGGAAAAAATTTGGAGATAGGACTCATCCTTGACACATACCCTTCCCAATTTTGAACCATGCAAGTGTTTCCTTGCTCTGTTCTGACGACTGCCTCCTGGTCCAAGTATAAGTTTTGCATAAGCAAAATCAAGTGTTCTGGGATTCCCATTACTGTCAGTCAGCCATAGCTTGTCGTGATTTACACAGTCAAATGCCTTTGCATAGTCCATGAAACACAGATAGACATTCCTCTGCTACTCTCTGCTTTCAGCCAAGATCCATCTGCCATTAGCACTTGATCTGTCTGACGTATGCAGTTGATGCGCATAGTCCTAATTTATGAGCCTGATTTAGTTCCCTCCAATTCAAGTTTTATCTGACTCATCCATTGTGAAGGTGGGTGGTGGATGTGTATGTATAATTTTTCTTAAGAAATGAAAGTATACGCTACTGTTATTAGTGCTGTCAAACTGGTTCCAGCTACAGGCACACTATGTACGATGGAATGAACACTCCTGGTCCTGCACTATCCTCAGTTGTTACATTTGAGCCCATTTTTTATAGTCCCATCTTGCTTAGGATCTACCTCTTCTTAGCTGACTTGACTTTACCAAGCTTGATGTCCTACTAGGAACTAGCCCCTCCAAAGTATCTGAGACAAAGTCTTGCCACCCTCATTTCTAAGGTGCTAATAAGCTTTCCGAGGCAGGTTTGTTAATTCATTGCCCAACTTTGATATGCATATGAGGTGATTGAAAATATCATGGCTTGGATCTGGTGCACCTTAGTCCTCAAAGTAGCATCCTTAGGAGATAACTTCTATAATCAGAATACTTTTTTACTTATTTACATATTTGAGGCTTGCTAGGTCTGTGGTCCAAAGAATCCTTAGGAGGCATAAATAAACACTAAAGTATTCACCAAAAGATTGGCAATTGAAACCCATCCCGAGGTGCTTTGGACAACAGGCCTTCATGATCTGCTTCCAGAAGGTCATAGCACACTATAGGGCAGTTCTCAGTACACATGGGTTCTCCGTGTGTCTGAGTCAGTTTGACATCCACTAATCATCAGTAAGGGAGCTCAGTGGCCTAGTGGTAAGAACCTGTGATGGAACCCAAAAGCCATGTGGTTCAAATCCACCAGTTGCTCTTCAGGAGAAAGGTGGGCAGTCTTCTCCTGAGCAATTTACTGTCTCTGAAAACCCACTGGGCGGTGAGCCATGAGTCAGTTCTGACTGGACGGCAAACAACAACAAGTTAACAATATGTCTTGTGTTCAGCTGTCCTACACTAGCATTTGTTTTACTTTCAAGTTATTTTTCTTAACTACAGTTGAATTTCTTACTGTCATTAGTAATTTTCTATCCATAAATAACACTATAGGCAGTTGTATCTCAAAGACCTTTGAATATAATGTTCTAAAGTTTATATAATAATGCTATTATTTAACAGATCATATGAGTGAAATGTTGTACTTAAAAAACTAAAAATTACTCATTACCTTCAAATGAAAGCCATCTCAAAGCTGATGGGTTTCAGAGGCTAAATATTGCACAGAGATTGCCTTTCTTGTCACAGTCCTCGGTGTAAACCAGGCCTTTCTGGAAGCCTGCTGCTTTATTTTTTAAACGTCAGTCTTCTTTAATTTGTTCTCTGCCTAAGAGAACAATTTCAGTTTCCAAAAGTGACCTTTAAAATATTTTTTGAATGTTTAAATAGTCAAACATACAAATGAAATACTTTTTTAATATTTAGAGGAATGGTCTAAGATTCTTATGACGAAAACATATGTCTTTAACTTGATAAAACACCAGTTTAAGGTGTCTCATTTATGTCCAGATAGCTAACTTCTGCCTTATTTTTTTAATTGTAATTTTTAAAATTAAATTTAATGAACGTTTACAGAGACTTAGGGTTTCCAGTCATTCATTGTTGCACTTTTCTCCCTCCCCACTCCCTCGCCCCCAATTCACTTTTCTCCTTGAAGAGTAAAAGAAAAGATCTTTCATTGCTTTACAATCCCTCCCCCCATGTCCACTGCACTGTGCAGCCTTCATTCTGGATTTCTGTCATGACAGAATACCTAATCATATATCCCTTCTAAACAGTTCTCTCCGTCATCTGTTACAATGCAGTATATATCATTCCTCCCCTTCTTTTCTGTCTTCCCTCAACCCCAATGTCAGCCTGTTTTACAATAATGGCCCTATGCAATATTTGTCCTTTTGTGACTGAGATATTTCACTCAGCATAATGTCCTCTAGGGTCATCCACTTAGCATAGTATTTCATGAGTTCCTTGTGTTTCAGTGCTGCATAGTATTCCATTGTGTGAAGATACTGGAGCTTCTCTATCTTTTCGTTTGTTGATGGGCACTTGGGTTGTTGCCAGCTCTTTGCTACTGCTAACAAAGTTGCAGTAAACATGGGTGTGCATATCTTCTTGGGTGGCAGTTATGGTTTCTTTAGGGTATATTCCCTGTAGTGGAATTGCTGGGTCAAATGATATCTCTATTTTGCAACCTTTTGAAAAAGCGCCATACAGCCTTCCATAGTGGTTGCACCATTTTACACTCCCAACAACGGTGAATAAGGGCTCCAGTTTCTCCACAACCTCGCCAACATTTGTTGCTTGCTGTTCTCTTAAATTTTGCTATTCTTACTGGGGTGAGATGGTATCTCATAGTTATTCTTTTAATTGTAATTTTAACGAAAGTTTAAAGAAAGGTAATTTTCTCTCTCCTTTTCCCCTAGTACACTTTGAAATGCTTCTCTTATTCTGGGCTGTTGTATAGCTAACTTCTAGTACAGACTGATATTATTATTTAAACTCTTAAGAAACCAAAATCCACCACAGCAACAATCCCAAGATTGAAGTACTTTTCCCGCTGAGTTGTAGGAGGAGGCATTGAATGTAGTTCTAAAAGCTCATCAGTCGTTTTGTAGTATAAAGAGAGATGCCACCTTTGAGTTAGCAAGTGCAGTTCTCTGGTGGTTTCTACAGGAGCTGCCTTTTATTTTATGGGACTGTGGAGAGATGATGGTAGTCGTGGTAGTTCTGTGTTACTTTGGATGGGTAAAGAACCTTGAGGCATTAAAGCAGTTTGGTTGTGTGGTTTCTGTGCCCTGATAATCAGATTCCCATGGTCTTATCTAGTTTTCTTTTTTTCATAAGCATTATACTTAAATATTTTAATATTTACTCTAAATAAAATAGTCTCTATTTCTAAAAAAATTAGAAACATTCTCTGTATTAATTAAAACAATAGTTTGGTGTTTTTTTTCCTTCTAAAGAGAAAAGTTCTATCAAGGAAGTTGTGGAGAATTTGTTATCAATTCAGTAGTATTTATTAAGTCCTTAATAGATACTGGAGGCCTGGTGGGATAGTGGTTAACCTGCTGGCCTGCTAACTGGAAGGTCAGCAGTTTGAATCCATCAGTATACTCTGAGGGAGAAAAATTAGATAATCTCCTTCTGTTAAGATTCATGGCTTTGGAAACCTGATGGTGGATCACCATTAGTCAGGAGACTGGATGACAGTGAGGGAGGTGGGTTTTTCTGTTTATTTGGTTTTTGTTTTGGGGATGTGGTTTGGCTAATTGATGTTATTGCTGTAAGTGGTGAAAATACCTCTTTGAACAGCGTAACTGCAAGGAGCTTTCATTCCTCTGGCAAGTCAGATGATAAGTAGAATTAACGGTAAGTTAAAGGATAGAGGAGCACAAGTGCACCAGATGGAGGGAAACAGGACAGTTTGAGAGCGCAGAGGTGAAGGTGGCTTTAGTAAGTTCAGTTTGAGTGATCAGGATAAGCCTGACTGAGAATGTGATGTTGGAGCAGTCTTGGATTAAAATGAGCGAATGAGTCATGTAACTCTGAATGAAGAACATTCTAGATAGGAGAACTAACTGCAGGATTTTTGATGAATGTTTGAGGAACATAGAGGAGCACACTGGCCAAGTTCAGTGAGCCAGTGAGGTCACTACTTTGGCTTTTACATTATGTGAAATTGAAAACAAACTTGAGGGTCAGAAAAAAAGGTTATTTCTTGTCTTACGATGGCATACATTAATATTTGTCTCCTAGACAGAAGATTTTATGGCAACACAAAGACTCAAGTCCTTTGCTTATGTTTTTCTACTTTATTTTTGGTTGTAGGGCCTTTCAGTTACCTTGATGATGTTCCATTTAAGATCGGAGACAAGTTCAAAACACCAGCCAAAGTTGGTCTGCCTATTGGCTTCTCCTTGCCTGATTGTTTGCAGGTTGTCAGAGAAGTACAGGTAAGTGGTAAGTAATTTTTAGTTCAAGTTTAGTGTACTGAAAAATTAAGAGGAAGAATTTGATGTATAGTGAAATAGAAAAAAAATTTCAGATCTCTTTACTTTTTATAGCTCATATTACTCTATTACTGTCTATATGTAATGTATATATAGAGAGAGAGACAGTAGTGTGTGTGTGTGTATATATATACAAATAAAACTATTTTAAAATTTTTCTACATTGATCTTTATTTCCAATTTAATATCTTGATCATGAATTTTTTATGTTAATTTGTGAATATACATACACACACACACACACACACACACACACACACACACACTACTGTCTAGCTCACATTTTCATATATGTGTGCACATAAAAACATATATGCACATGTGTATTTTTTTAGATTGTGTATTCCTGGAGGTGTGTGTCTTGCTCAAAACTAATCCCTGTCCCTCATCTTAACTTACTCTTTTTCTTCAGATTGTTAAGGCCATCATTATCATCTGAATCATTCAAATGGGATGATACTTTTCTGCTATGCCTCTCACCTTTGATACTTGCTAGTTCACTACCTTATTTTCTTCCTAGGCTGTTGTAGTAACTTCTTTAATTAGCCTCTCTGTTTGCAGCATTTTTCTTCTACTTTTCACATTGTTTTCAGAGTAATAATTTTCATATCTCTGTTCAAAAACTTTGAGTAGTTCACCAATCATTTTTGGGACAAGTCTAGATGAAAGGTATTAACAGAGCACCTTAGAACCTCATCTGCTCCATAGTCCCTGCAGACCAGTCTTTGACTTTCTTTCTATGGTACCTGTCTGGGCTGCTCTACATGGACTATTTTTCCACTTGGCCCACTCTTCTCTTTCTCACCTTTACTAATAATGGTTTGGCTCTTAGAATCTGCTCATTCAGGCTTCAAATGTTCCCATCACAACCTTCTGATCCTTAAAGCTGCTTTATACACAGATATGTGTAGTTGGCCTTTTTTTCTTTCGAATACTTAAAATGTTTTTATTCTGCCTTTACCTTTTTCTGTATAGAGAATTTAAGGTTCAAAATAGTTCTCCTCTAGAACTATGAAGGCTTATTCCACTGTCTTCCCAGTGCTGCTGCTGAGAAATCCTGATTTTTGTTCTGTTGTGGTTGACTAGTTTTCCTAGCACAATGGTGGATAACTTAGTTTTTCACTGAAAACTATTTTAAAATTTTTCTCTATTGATCTTATCTTTATTTCCAATTTAATATCTTGATCATGAATTTTTTATGTTATTTGTGAATATTTTATTGTGTTTTAGGTAAAGGTTTATAAAGAAAATGAGTCTCCCATTTATTAAGTGCAGATTTTTCTGTAACATTAATTGCTGGCCCTGAAGTGTCTCAGAACTCTTCCCATATCTGTCTTGCCTTTTCTATTTCCATACCTTGCTTCCTGTCCTGCCCTTTTTCCTTTTTTCCTCTGTTCACCCCGTTATCCACTCCACTCTGCCCCCCCCCCATCCTTTCCTCATCTTTGCTTTTGAGTACACTATATCTATATGGTTTCAAACAGCTGCTTGTTCTAACAAGTGCATTTCTCCTGGGTGGAGTTTCAGAGGCTGTTCTGTTAATTGGCTGAAGGTGACCTCTAGGAGTAGCTTCACCTACAGGTTTAAATGTCTTAGGAGAATATTCTTGGTGGTTTCTCCAGTCAGTCCAGTAAGTCATCTTTTTTGAGTTTTGGTCTATTTTTCTCTCATCTGATTGAGACCTTTTGTTGTGTCTCTCTGATCAGAACAGTTGGTGGTAGTGGCTGAGTACCATGTAATTCTTCTGAACTCGGGCTAGAGAGGCTGTAATTCATGTGGGTTGTTAATATTGTGGACTGATTGCTTCTTTTAGTCTTTGGTTTCTTTACCATCCTTTGTTCCAGATGTTGTTTCTCTTTGTTGTTTAGGTGCCACTGAGTTGACTATGACTCATAGCAACTTTATTAAAAACGCATCAGACCCTTACACTGGCCTGCTCCATCCTTAAGATCTCTGGTATGCTTCAGTTCATTGTTAGGGGCACTGTGTCAGTTCCTCTTGTATGGTTTTTTTCTCTTCTTTGACAAACTGTTTATTGAATTTTATGTCATATCTTTAATTGTATCACAGAGTACAGAGATTCAGCGGAGAGGTAAAGTGGCAATGATGAATTTGGGGATCTGGTCTCCCAGCAGTACCTGTGGCTTTACCCCTGATTCTGCAGTTGCTGCTAGGTGATCACTTCACTGGAGCCATCCTGCTCCATGGCCAAAGAAAGGCAGTCAAGTGAAGAAATTCTTCCGTGGTCATGCCTTTCGGTAGGTGGCATCCACATAGCTGTAGATAGAGGAGCTCCCAGAACTTCCAGTGTCAAGGGACTGCCTTGCCATCAAACCCCCCACAGAGACTGAGTACACCTGCCCTCCTTCTTGGGGGTCCCAGCCTGCAATGATGATTCCTACCATCAGGTCTTGCCAGTATCTGTGGTACATCTCCTTAGAGAGGCTGGCTACTGTGCGCACCAGTAGAGGCTCATTCACTTCGATACTGTGGAAGCCAAGCTCATGAATGACAGCATTGGCTACTGCCTGGGTATCAGCTGCTGAACCAGAGTGGCAGCAGGATATCCATCCAATCATGAATGGGGTCAGTTTGTCAGTCAATTGATTGGCGATGTAGGACTCCATGGTGGTTCTAGAGTCAGCTCCCAGAACTGCACCCCCATCGAATTGCATGGCCATAACTGTGGTCCATGTGGAGATTACTGGCCTTCCCAGTTGGGGGTGAGCCCTCAGGCCCCCATGTCACTGCTGGTCCCATCCCCATTAGAAGCTACTAAGTTCACCGCCATCTCCTTCTCAAGCCCTTTTGTTAAGCGTCTTCTCTCTCCCTCTCTCCTCTCCATGTTTGACAACATGATGTCTTTTTTCCAAGGACAGTCCCCTCCTGACAACATGTTCAAAAGTATGTGAAATGATCCTTCACCAGCCTGCCTCTGAGAAGCACTGTAGTCACACTTTGAAGAGTTGTGGGATTTTTAAAAATAAAGAGGAAAATTTAATAAAACAGAAGCACTCTCAGAAGGAAAGAGTGGGCCAGTCTCAAGAGTATTGAGATAAGGATCCCAACAGTTGTATTTTATATGGCTATTTACAAATTTTTAAAACTGAATTCTGCTCACTAAATCAGGATGTACATTATGCGAGTTGACCTTGATCCTCCCTGTAAAATTCCTTTTACTTGAGAGAAACAATGTTGTGATTTATTCCCTCTTCAGGATTATAGACATTGCAAAGTAAGATAATGAAAGAAGATTCTTTTTATCCCTCCTGTTGACTATGACTCTGTGCGATTCTGTGACCAACTGATCTGACCCTTGCCCTGATTGTACCATCCTCAGAATCTCTGTCCTGGTCAAGTTCATTACAGTAGTCACTGTCACTTTTTTTGGTGATGTCTAGGTGGCAGCATTTTGAGATTTCTAGAATATCCAAGTTGACTTAGTTGATTGCTTGGGCAGCAGTGGCTCATCTTTACAATGAGGATTTCCTCCATAGCTACTTTTTGTAGTTCTTACAATTCTAACCATCCTGATGAGTTAGTCATTAATTATATGCAAAATACGTTTAAAACCTTTTCCAAAGCAAATACTGGACCATAATTTCTGGGAGCCCTTTTTAGCACACTCTTTTTCATGTCACATGCAAATGAGAAATCACGTCTCAGAAAGTGAGAGGAAAATATCAAGAAGGAAATAAAACTCCTTCCTAAACACTTGATCCAGTAGATGGCTTTCTTTACAGCTTTCATTGTGACTTACCTGTCAGTGTCATGAAGAGCTTGCGGGTTTCTCTTTGGTGCTTCATGTCTGTGCTGCTTCCCCAAGGCTGTTTGAGGTGGTGGGGACCTATGGTTGCCTTTTTTAAAACATTGTACAGTCTTGCCTTGTGTAACTCCCATTCAGTATCTGTTTGTTGAGTCTATCTTTTTGGCAGCCTCTTTGCTGAGTGAGGATAGACATAAAAGCCACTTTCCTTGTCCTCATGGTGCTTGCCGTTTAAAAAGTCACAGAAAAACACAGTACATCTCTTCTTATAATTTAAAGACATATTTTAAAGCACACCTTTTTCATTAATGTTGAACATTATATCTTGGGTTTTTTTTGCCTGATAACCTTTGTATTAGCAACAGCTTTTATTCACTAAACACGCTTTTTCTGTGCAGGCCACTATTAGGAATAGAATCCATAAAACTCTCCACTTTGTTTCAACGATCTTCTTATCATTCACTGCCTTTGTTAATTTAGGAAACTTGTTTTGAATCCCAAAGTGTTACCCTGTTAGTTTTCTCTTTGCTGAGATTTTCTGTATATTTTTATCAGATAGGATTGAGGTTGTGAGGTTGACTTCCTTTGTGTTCCATTTGAAACTTTGGTTGGGAGAAGAGATTATCTAATTACTCATAGTTAATTGTCATCTTTTTGGAATCAAATCATAGCACACTCTTTTGCCAGTTTTCAAGGCTGTAAATTATAAAGGAGGAGATTGCCTCTCTTTCTCCACAGAGCCACTGGTGGATTTGAAACTCCAACGAGGCATGATCTTTGGTTTAGCAGCGCAATTTCTGGTGTACTGGGACACCAGAGCTTCTCCTTGATTATATATAGTATCAGTACCCTTTGTAGTCTGTGGCCTCCAAGGCGTATTGGTTGTGGTATGCTGCTGCCCTGTCTCTACCCAGAGAGGAGTAACCTGGAGCCCTTGACAAATGATTTGACATTTCTGTGTTGTTTTAGACACCATTGAGTTGACGATGACTCAGCGACTCTGTGAGCAACTGATTGAAACCTTCGCTTATCCTGTGCCATCCTCACAATCTTCACCATGCTCAACTCCATTTTCTTTCTTTCTTTTCTAAATTTTCTCTCTCTCTCTGTGTGTGTGTGTGTGTATGTGTGCACGCGCGCGCGCCATCTAATTGGATCTGACTGGTACAGGAGGAGATTGCCCTTCTTTCTCCAGCAGAGCATCTGGTGGATTCGAACTCAACTTCATTTTCATAGTCACTCTGTCCATCCATCTCCTGAGAATTTCTTTCACTGACCCTGCTTTTTTTTTTTAAATGGAGTACGTCACGAATTTGCGTGTCATCTTTGTGCAAGGGCCATGCAATCTTCTCTGTATCGTTCCAATTTTAAATGTATGCTGCTTAAGTGAGCACTGACCCTGCAGTTTTATAACAATGATGTCTTGGCGAGCTCTGGTTGCTTAGTGGCAAGAAGCTGCACTGCAATCCCAGAGGTGCGCAGTTCAAATCCGCCAGA